ATTAGGGATAGTATCACATAGACACTAAAGGAGTAGAGTGATTATAAATTGAAGTACTATAATGAAGTATTAATTTCACTTTGCCACATTTATCCCACCATGAATTCTGACTAGTGTGAGTCTACTCAGAAGGTCAGAAGTCAACGGGTTAAATGGGAAACAAGATGTTCTGTGTCCTTCAGCTGACTGCCAAATTTTCATCAGTAGCATCAAGATTCACCTATCATTTGCAGAGATGTTTTAATCCCTAGTAAACAAATAAATTATAAAAACTGGTCCTTTAAAAATCAATATTGTAAAAATTTATACTGTGCACTAAATAATAAACTGTAATATTAAATGATGAAGAACTAATGAGCAGAATCCATTATAAAAATCCAGGTCCAAACCTCAAGGAAAAAAGGATACAAGTAGCTCAGTATTTATGCTACAGTTTTTTAAGCTTGTGATTTATGATATAAATAAGCCGGATAAATAATATGAAACATATGATGGTGTTGAATTCTCAGAAACTTGCTAAAACACTTTAGATTAAAAAAAATCAAAGTTATACTAAAGCTGTGAATAATGAAAACTCAAGGGATGAACTAATGGGCAGCAACTGTTTAGTAAACTAGGATTCTCCTTCTCTACTCACTGGGCTCAGACTAGGAAACCAACACAGAGTGATTGGTTTCAGAGAATGCTCCACCAGACACAGAGAACTAATACCAAACCCCCACTGCATTCCTCTGTCCTTACTGCATCTCACATGACATGGGAGCAAAAAGATTCAAGATAGCATGAGTTTAATGGAAAATCTGAAGTTGGAATTCTCATGTGAGACTTCTGAGAATATTACATTAATTGTGATGGGGTTCTTTTTCAGTCAGTTGAGTCCCCAAAACAACATATGTTAAAGTGATTCATATACCTACTGTATATTCATTTTCCTTCAGAAACTTAGAATTTTAGGATAACAAAAATCTAAGTGTGTAGGACTGTTCTTAATTCAAACACATTGCTCAAAAAGTAACACACCTTTTAAAACTGAGGTATCCGAATACTGACATCTAAAAGAGAGGCCTGTTCTAGTAGGTAGAAAAAAGAATGGTTGCTTGAAAGGACCATCTCTTTTGGAATTCTCGGTTTATGTTATTACGTGTATTTCAACTTATGGTTAGGGAACCATTATGAAACTAAGAATGACATACAAGATAATCTTTATAAACCAAACTGGTTGGTAATGGGATTTTTGTTTAGTTGTTATTCAACCGATAGTGGCATGCTAAATGAAGAACAGCAAGCACTCAGATTATATGACCTGAATTTTTACCTACTACATGTGTTGTTGAGACATAATGTCAGATTGACATTATGTGACCATAATGTCATAATTGACACTCTGTGGCCATCATGTTGGTTTTGTTTCTTCTTGCCAATGGACTTACAAGATAGTGAATAATTTGTCAATTATCAGTAGCCAAGAAGTTCAGTGTTTAGGCTTTTACATTGATATCTTAGTGTGATGATAATCTGCTTTGTTCTGTCTTGGAATTAATCATTTATGATCATTTATGAACTACAGTTATTTCTGGGTCGCAGCTCAAGCAGTCTACTGTGAGAAAGCACTATACAAAGCACTATGGAGAGTTTAAACAGTATAAATAGATTTGTTTCTGTTTTTGAAGACAGTTAACTTCACAGTCAAAGTGTCCCTGGACAGTTGGGTCCTGGAAAAGGTCCTCATCCTGGTTTGTAGATGGACCCCTACTTAACTGCCTTCTCATATAGAAAACAGAGGTCATCTCCTTTGTGTTATTTCCTTGGAAGCTCACTTATGAGGGCAAAGCTAAGACCTCTGGAGTAAAAAAAGAAAATCTTTCCTCATCCATGTTACCATCATAAAGTTCCCACTTGAGGACTTTATAATAATAATAAATAAAAATTAGCTGGAAAAAGTCCTGTAAACTTAAGATAATTTTCATGAGACATGGTAACCTTCAGAAATAAAGATCCAACAAAATGTATCTGTATTTTTCTGAGTAGATGGGACCAGAGAAAGTTTGAATTAATAGTAATATACTGGGGAAAACTGGCCATATTCTGTTTGTTCAGATTTTTCTTGCAATCTCTATGCCTTTAAGAATAAAACTGTATTCTTGAGGGCTGGAGAGAGGGCTCAGTGATTAAAAACATATATTGTGAGATCAACGACTGGCTCCTTTACCTCTTCCACCGTGAGGGAGGAACAGTCTTTCTAGGCTACAGAGGATGACATGGCAGCCAGTCCCGAGGATACCTGATAAGCTAGGGTCAGATGGAAGGGGAGGAGGACCTCCTCTAGCAGTGGACTTGGAAAGGAGCAGGGAGGAGATGAGGGAGGGAGAGTGGAATTGGGAGGGAACTGAGGAGGAAGATGCAGCTAAGATACAAAGTAAATAACCTGTGATTAATATAAAAATAAAAATTAATAGTAATAAAAAAGAACATATATTGTTCATGCAGAGGACCTGAGCTTGATTCTTGGCACCTGTATCAGGCAGCACACCTTTCCCTAGGGAAGATGACACCCCTTTGTCTTCCTCTTATGCAGGCATATCATAAATCAATACTAATAAAAATATTAAAAAAACAAACAAACAAAAACACTCGTGTGTTCTCTTTAGTTTGCTACTTGGGCATGTCACATCAGGAACGAAGGCTTTAACAGAAATCAGCTAGATTTTATTTCCTGTTTTGGGGGTAGAATTGGTCTCTGAAAAAATGAGAGTGATTTGTCTGCCTCTATGGTTTATTTAAATGCCAATGTGACATGCTGTTCCTTGATCTCATCACTCCAACTCCACAGGGCATCTCACTGAGGCTTAGGCTTTTTTCTTTAGTGGATTGCACACTTTCACTTCATTGTCTTGCTAAATACCAGTGTTTTGAGGCTTGGTGACACTGGTGACTTCAAAGCAAATTTCATACTAGGAAGCAGTACATAGCCAGCGATGGTCTTTCTAAACACATACTCATTTGAGTCCAGATGTCAGGCACATATACATACAGACTTAAAGACCACTGTATATTATATAACTGTAGTCTTACCAAAAATAAAATGGAAACAACTATTTACAAGAATAAATTTAAAAGCTCACCTTTTAGCACCAAAAGAATTGGCTGATCAATTGATATCAGATAGCCTACTTAGGCAGAACTATAGTAAGAAACAGTATCTACTTTGCTCATTAACCACTCTGATACTTGTACCAGAGGCTGTGTTAATAAGTATATCAAGCGTACAATAAACATTTATTCCAGGCTTTAGATAACCTTATCTAGGTATAAATTAATCAAAATGCTTGGTATGTCGTGATTATGTTTTTTTTTTAATAATGTATAGCTCAGTAATAGTGAATAGTAATAACATAGTGGACAGTAATTATAATAATTCTTTCAGACTGATGTTTATGACCATGATGAAGATCAAACAGGATTGTTGCTTTGAAAGTGAAATGTCACACATTTTGCTTTTTAATCTTAAACCACCTAATTTGTTTCATCCCATGATTTGTGTCTCCATCTCATATTTGCTGTATTTGCAAGATAACATTGAATTCTGTATTCCATAGAATACAAAAGTCATCAGAGACAAAAATCCAATCTTAGTCAGTGGTGTAGGATTTTCTGTAATATTAGTGATAGATAATCAATCACACAGAATGGTGACTTGAGGGAAATACTTGGAAAAACTATACCTGTCATGTTGTTCTTTGGAAACTTTTTTCTTTTAATTTTATAAAATCTTAATATTGCAAATTAATGTCACTCATTTTATTAAAACCTCTGTTTATTTAATCAAATTAAATGTTTGCAGTTCTAGGTGACTTTCTTTTGCCTGTTTCCTCTTTTGTGACATCTGCTGGCCATATTCAGTACTACAAACCTCCATAATTCACTCTTAACACCTCCAATAGTCCAGGTTTTTTCCAGAAATAGCAATAGTGGAAGTGATGGAATTCAGTGAGTATCTATGACTAAAAGAAGAGGTTTTGTAATGTGAGTTTCAACCTTGAAAAAAGATGAGAGTCTAGGAGCAAGGTTGAATATATATTCACTTTCATGTTTTGGTACTAAAAGTGATACAATGTATTATGATTACTGTCAATCAATCCCTTTAATGTCACTGTGCTACTCAAATATTTTCTACAACTTGATGATGATGATGATGATGATGATGATGATATTAACACAAATGTTCAGGGGGTAGCTTTTAAATTCACATTTTAAATGAATGAACTTCGGGTTTCAGCACACATTGGATGCAGGCTAAGAAGAAGAAGGCATGAGCAAACTTTTTATATCTCCAGAAACCCATTTATCCACTGTCCCATCAGTCAAATTCAGATACTTGTTGCCAGCTCTAAGATTTATAGGCTAAAGCTGGTTTTTGAAATTGCTTTGTATTTCCATTTAACAGCTAGGGCAGCAGCATGTTAAAAATCTGCCTTGGTCTCCTTGGAGCCTATTTATAAAGCTAATTTTTCTCCCTGGACATTTTTTTTTCCTCCACCTCTTTCAAACATCAGCTCTAGGCTTCTAAACCATTAACCCCCCTTCTTCATCCCAAGCAAAATACTGTCAGAGACAATGGATGCAGGACAGTGACGATTCTGATGATATAGTCCTCTCCAGCAGAATGCAAGCCATCTTTCCTGCTGGCGGGAGATGGATTCGCTGCCCTCCCTGCAGACACACAGGCACACACACACACGGAGCCCTGGGAAGTCCACATTTACTGTACTGCGTGCCGACTGCCTTGAAGAAACTGTAGCTAACCACCTTATTAGTATTCTTGCCTCCACTGTGTCTCACTTGCAGCATCACAGCACTGAGCAAAATGCAGTAGAGCAGGGACAGACACGGCTCTGGCAATCATCTCAATGCAGGCTGCCGAGTGTTGGGGGTAGGGGCATGCAGCGCACCAAGATTAATAACCTTGCCATAATCCGGGGCACCGAGCAAGCAGACACCTCTACTGGTTGACTCGCTCCTGGCTTGATACATCTGCCTGGGGAGAGGAATCCGGAATCTAGTTCCCTCTCCCCACCCCCCTGATTTTGGATGTTCTTTTGATTCTCCACAGACCTGGGAAGGTAACCGCAAGCCATACCATCTGCAGCTCACAGCACCTCTTGGAGGTTACTACTGACAGTTTTCATTACACAGGCTTCTGTGAGTGCTTATGTGTTTGTATGTGTTTGGGTGCCTGCTTTCTCGTGGAAGAGATTGTGTGAGTGTCCGTACTGTGTGTGGGGGTTTGTATGACAACCAAAGCAGGTTTAACGTACAAGAGGAGATCTCCACAGCGTGGAAATAATCTCCGGGCACTGGGGCTCACAATCTGTAGCCCCCACCTCTCACCGCCCCTTCTCTGCCCGGCTCCCCCTGCTTCTTTCGCCTTTGATGAGTTTTTGGCTTACTTTTTTGGCGGAGTCTCTTGGACACGTTCTTGCTGTTGCTGGAGGATCAGATAAATGGAACCTTTGAAAGTTGATTATTTTTCTCCTGTGTGACAAACACACAGAGAGACAGACAGACACGAGGAAAGTAAATTAGAGTGGTGTCTGACCAGCTAGAGGATTTAAATTTTTCCTTGGTGAACTTTGACGATCTGCTGAGACACTGAGACGGTAAGTCACCGGATTACTTAGCTCCGGGTAGCTTGTTTTCTTGCAGTGTTTGTGTTTTCTGTGTTGTTTTCAGAAATCCATATGCAGTTCATAAGCGCGCACATCCAGATTGTAATGCAGAAAGGAGCCAGTGTGTGGCATTTGGGGTTATTCTCATGCCAAGGAGGTTATTTCCATTTGTATGACGACCCTCCTCCCTCCCCAACGACACTCATTACAGTTATACACCCCTTCTTACCGCTTCCTGCTAAATTTTTAATATATCAAATCTGCAAATTTGTGATAAAAATATAAATCCTCCTTCAAAATAAATCTCTAAAACCGGGAAATGGGGGTTATTCAGGTTAGCTGCTGGCAGAGGCACTGGGACAGAGCAAAACTGAACCTAGTGGAGACTGGCATGGGATGGCAGTGGGGGTATAATTCAGACTTTTATGATAACTTGAAAGTAGACCCCGACAGATTATTATTCAAGAGCAGTAATATCTGCTCGAGGGAGCAGTGGCTGTGTTTCCATAGCTCTTAATAGGAACAAATGAGAACAAAGTGGGGACTGTTTTGTGTTTCCAGCCTCACTTTTGGACCGACTTACTTCCTATTGCATCTCTTTAACCCTTTCTGATCGTGGTGTCCCCTTTATTGAGACTAGTAGTGTCTATCATTTTGGAACATCTTCTCACCCCATGCAGTCTGTAGAGAGGAGAGTGTGGTTGCAAATTGCTCTTAATTGTGTATTCTTGGCTGTAAAAGCAAGCAGCGTCAGAATTCATGTGACTTCAGTCAAACGTCTTGCTGAACTCAGTCTCCTCAGTGTTCCCTAGTGGTTACCTGTGCCTTAAACCATTGCCTCTGTCTTCCTTCAAACTGAAATGCAAATAAGATTTTACCTATTTTGAGCTCAAGAAAGAAAAATATTATTTCTCTGTGACAGTATCTGTATCTTTGTATTTGTAAATATATGTATCTCTGAATTGGCACCTAGCTTCTACCAAGTAGGGAAATTAACCTGCAAATAGATTTCCAAAATACCTAAATCTCCAAGCATAAACGGTAGTAGGTTAGTTTTCCTCAGTGAATATTTATGGTCCTGCGTCTGAATTGGAGTTGTGATGTTCCATGGGCTGTTAGCCAACTCTAAGGTCTGTTGTGATCACGTTCATTGTAGAGATGACAAGTATGCTAACTAGGTAGAAGAGGGCACACCTAGGTGATTCTTTCCAACTACTGATGACTATATTTAGCCAGAAGATGCTAATTGCAGCATAAAGATCTCTTCAAACAAGGCTGATCTAGTCAGAGATTTCTAAGTGCATCCAAGTTTGGAGATGTCAGACCGCATACTCAAAACACTGGTTTTTCTTCTTTTTTCCTAAAAGGGAAATGCCAAAGGAGCAAACAAACAAAATGTGAAGATGAGGGTATCTAATGATTGTGGCACAGGAATAGTAGAGCAGCCTAGCTGTAGCTGTTAAGAGATACTCCGTGATCCCAGCTGACCCTATGACAGGCACTCCACACAGAATGCTGGTGGACACACTGTGGGAAAACTGCAAGACAGAAGTCATGATATGCCTTCTTGCTGGCTATTTTTAACTGGTGTACTTTTTCCTTAGATTTCAGCTACTGTTTCATGATTAAAAAAGAGAGCACTTTCTTTTCTTTCCTTTTTATTTAAGTAGCTGGGACATAATAGCAGCCATGAACAAAATTCCTTTCTTTTCCATTTTTGTGAGGAGAGAATGAGCTAAGGCTCATGAAACCCAGAGGCAGGCATAGATACATAAATAAAAAAACACAAAGTCTAAGAAGAAAAGGACAAGGAAGCTCCAGATGCCAGCAGGTCACAGCAGGCCATCAGAGGACTCCCTGACTCTGTGAGGATAGGAGTTATACCTTTCTTTCTCAACTGTTCACTCAGCCAGAGATACTGATAACAAGTCCTAGCTGGAGAAGTCAGAGGTTTCAGTCATCTATTTGATGTTAGAACAGCTCAGAATAAGGAGGCCCATCTTAAATGCCGTTCTGGAAGTTGGCAAAGTCAATCCTCTTTTTTTTGAGACTATCTAACTTTAACTGCCCCCTATCCAATTACATTCTCATGCACTATGACTATGTATTTAGATTGGTGGTATTTGGAAATTAATGGCACAGATCAGTTCTCAACACTATCTGAAAAAAAAAAAGAATATAATTTTATCAGTTGTGTATTTGAGACTTAATAGTTTTAATGAGTGAATCTTCTAGCAGTAGCAACACTTTCATTAACAGTTATTTTATGTTAATAACAGCAATGGAGTATCAGCCAAGCCAGGATATTCTGACTCCAGCTCATGCCCTGTAGGAAAGCAAACCCTTTCCATCCCAAGGGCTTCAGATGTTGTTTACACAGCTGCAACCTTGCATCACACTGTTTAGCTCAGGTAGAGCGATAGTAAACAGCTTTTGCTCAGATTTGACAATAGGATGCATTGCAAACTTTCGTGAACCTTTTTGGTTTTGGCAGAGATTATTTTAAGGTTTAACAGGCTTGGTTTTCTTGCTTAGTTAGTGCAAAAGTGAAAAAGCAAAGGAAAAAGGAGAGGTAGGAATTTCCATTTCAGTAGGGAACCTTCATGTCAGATTAGCCAATGAAGACATTGATGTTCCTTCAAAGAAATAGATGCAAGGTTATTATTTTTTTAAGAGTGAATTCATAAAGGGCTGCTTTGAGTTTATTGGGGGAGAATAAGGGAACCTCCATTTCCTCCTCAGTTTTATTCCAGTCAGTGAGCGGGCCTTTCTCTGGCTCTTTACTCAACTCAGTCAAATAGACCCAACATTCTCCAGTGTTCTATGCTCAAGACACTTAACACATGAATAGTTCCCTTCCTTCCCAACAGAAAGAGATGACAGCTGGAAAGTCAGCTACTGAGATCTTTTAAAGGAAGCCAGGAAGATTATCCAGTAAGTTCAAGAAGAGAAAGAGTTCTCAGCTCTTGCCCTTGTAGTGAACACAAACCAAGCATCTCGAACTTTAAGTTTTAATTGCTGAGTCATCACTGCAGCTTAGAGCTGCATTCTATCTTAGGCTGATTTAACAGTGGTGGTGGGAACAAGATCAGAGCATCAGTCTACAGAAGGTAATATAAAGACTTGGCTCTTAACATGAAGTAAATATTATAGAGCAACAGATGCTTTATATGTCCTTGCTGTTGTTCCTTATCATTTAAAAGTAATTTCTCCATGATTAAAAAAAAAGAAAAGGTAATTAACTGCTATATGAATTGGATTGGGAGTTTGAAGTTTGCAATAGACTGAATAAACCCATTTAATTATCTGCACTGCACTTATGCATGTTTATATTTATGTATGTACATGTGCATACATGCATGTATACATTTAAGGTATAGGTCAGGCTATAGGAGCCATAACACTCGATTAATGAAAAATAGAAAACCGTGTGATCATCATTGGTCCTGGATTTCTAGAAATGACTAAAAAATAAAGGAAGGAAGAAAGGGGGAAAAAAGAACAGAAGGAAAATGGAAAGAAGTTAAGAATGATGCAAAAGAGGAAGGAAAAAAGGCAAAGAAAAAACACTTGGACATTCTAACTTTCTTGGCAAGGATACACAAGCCATTAATGACTTTGTAAGCTCTGAAACCCCTAGTCCATAATAAAACTGTTCACTAGAATTTTAATGACATTTGGAAACTGTATTTGTCTATAACAACAGACAGGGCATAATGACGACAAGCATTATCACACTGAATTGCATTTATGAGACAGACCAGAATTAAAATGTAAGAGGAAGACAATAATAACAGTATTAGCTTTGTGGTTGAATAGACTTGGGATGGATAATTTCTTAGAGCCTCCATTTTCTATTCTATAAGACAGAAGCAGTCAATCCTAAATATTTTTGTGATGGGTGAATGAATAAAAGATGTATAAAATACAGTTAGTAAAACCTTTTTAATGAAATCATATCAATGTTGGTAGTTCACAAAGTTTTTTTTTAATCCATCTTATTCAAGTTTAAGGAAAAGAAAGGCCAACCTAATTCAGGATATTTTTATCTTTATGCAGAGAGATAAAATGAAAAAAAATATAACTTGAGAGTTAGGCAAAACTGAAGAGATGAAGCTCTGTTTCGATAAGTTAGCTTGAGGGCTTTATCAGATGCTCTCAGAGCAGCCTAAGCCCTTTCCAGATGCTGTTGTACTTATGCTCACAATATCAAAATGATACTGAATAAAAGTAGAATCATGTGCATCCATCCATTTGTGGTTGCAGAAACAATTCAAAAGTCAGCAAGTGGTGTTAACATGATTCTTTGTCTAATGTCTCTTTTTGCTCACAGACAATGAAAGGATATCTATTTATTAGTTAGCTAGCTGGCAGGTACTGGTACTGTGGTCACTGCTCTGATAACTATGTAAGGTCTGTCTTCATTCCTCTTTGCTACAATTCCAGCATTTGGACATGGCATGATTCGGTCTTCAGGACTGCTCCTTAGAATTTTGACTTGATAGTTTAACAGAGTTAAGATTCTTCTTCCAGCATCTGGCTCACATGGAACTATGTCATTGTGTACGACCCTTATTTAGTTCAAGAACATATTGCTAAAGATGTAAAAAGCCTTGTTCCTATTAATGTAGCTAGCTGAGCTGTCAGCGATGAGGCCAATTCTGCTTTGCTAACTCTGCACGGCTGGTACCACTTGACCCAGGTATTTCTGTTCTGCCTAGTCAGCCTTTCCCTGTACATGAAGAAAGCTGGGCTTTGCCCTTCAGAATGTGGGCACTTACTATCTGATAATGAATGGATGGACTCTATGTTTTGCACAGAAGTAAGACCAAATCCAAACTCCCAGCATTTTAAATTCATTTTATAAAATCCAGGTCTAGGGCACCAAAAGAGGGAGAAAGGATATCAATGAGTCATCGTAGCACACATACTCATACTGCAGCCTTCAATGACACAACCTGGGCTCTGCACAGAACTAAGGAAATTCTCTC